CTATCATACCTTGCAGAGGAGTATGGCCTACTGCCAGAAACGCATATCGGAGGGCGTGGCGGCCGTTCCTGTGACCATGCTATCCACATGCTGCTCGAAGCAGTATACGACGCATGGAGAAAGGACCGGCGGGTCGCTTCGCTTCTCACGTTAGACGGTAGCGGGGCCTTTGATAACGTCTCGCATATACGACTGATCCACTGTCTACGGAAGCGACGCATCCCGGAGATTATCACAAACTGGCTGATCAGCTTCTTATCAAATCGAAGCACGACCCTCTTACTGCAAGAAGGACGCTGTGCAAACGAACCGGTTGCTACCGGGATCCCACAAGGTTCACCACTATCACCAATTTTGTATCTTTTCTACAACTCAGACCTGATCGACGATATCCACGCAGCTGCTCCCGGCCGGGTGCTAGTGACGGGATATATCGACGATATCTGCATCCTTGTGTGGGGCGTTTCCCCTACTCGCAATTGTCAATTTCTCTCCGAACTACACGCTGTTGCTGAGACGTGGGCGAAACGGCACGCATCTAAGTTCTCTCCATCAAAATATGGTCTTATTCACTTTTGGAAGAGGGGTGCTGGCGCGCTGCCCCCGTACGGCGTCCATCCGCAGCAGACACCCGCCCTTACGGGCTCTGTCACGATTCAGGGCGTCGAAATCAAGCCGGTGGCGTCCCTCCGCTATCTCGGGGTCATTCTTAACGAAAACCTCACAGCCCGTGACCACCTACTCCGCTGCCGCAAACGAGCTGCAGTACTGACCGCGGCCCTCCGTTCTATTGCTGGCATGACCTGGGGGGTCACGACGCTCCACCTGCGTCGCATGTGGACGGCTGTGCTGTTTCCACAGATTAGCTTTGGCTGTTCTACGTGGTACACGAAGGGGGCCTACCAGGCGAAGACGACAGAGAATGAGGTGAACCGCGCTCTCGAATCCATGCAGTATCAAGCCCTTTACCGTATCGCCGGCGCGTTTCGTACGACGTCCCGGGCTGCGCTACAGATCCTTCTCTATGTCCTACCAGCGCCAATCGCGACTCAACGGCTAGCAGAACTCACATGTCTCCGTATTCATACCCACCCACTCCGCACTATCTTCCGCAGACGTACGCCAGTCGATAGGGCAACGCTACGGCTATACTGCCAAGACAGCCACCGCAATCTCGGACCTATCCAGAAAGCTATGACTACCCCGCTGCAGCGCCTTGAGAAGCATCTCCAAGACCGTGGAATCGACGTGCACGACCTTGAGCTGATCAAGCCGTACGCAGTGGCCCCGTGGTGGCAGCCGCCAAAAGTGCAGATCGCCGCAAGCAAAGACACAGCAATCGCGCAGCATAACGAAATCCTTAGGGCCGCTGGGCCCTACGGGCCTAACACCGCAATAGCTTATACCGACGGTAGCAAGCTCGATAACCCAGCAGGCGTAGGGGCTGCTGCCCTCACCTCCGTGGGGAGAGAGGTGGCGGTGCTACACCCCACAGATTCGATCTACGTGGCAGAACTCCACGGAATCAAGCTCGCACTCCGTCGATTCGACACGGAGATAAGCTTTCGACAGACGTGCGAGGGCTTCCGCGCAGAAACAGATACTACCGATACTACCGATACCACCGCTACTGCTACGATCTTCACAGACAGCCAGGCTGCGATTCTCGCTTTCGCACGCCCGCGGCGAAGCTCAGGCCAGTACGTGCTACGAGAAATCGCGGAGCTACTGGACCGAGTACAGCCTGTATGGCAGGTCCGCATCAACTGGCTACCCGGACATGTCGGGGTAGCCGGCAACGAGCGGGTCGACCAGATGGCCAAAGAAGCAGCCGAATCCACAGCCACGCCTACGACGACACCACTACTCCTTACCGCAGCCAAAGCCACCTTACGTGAGCAAACGTTAGAGGCGTGGACACGCGAGTGGACGACCTCCGCCCACGGTGAATACGTCCGAGACCTCTTTCCAGAGCCCACAAAAGCAGTATTTCAGCTCCATGAGCCACTCCGCAGACCCACTAGCGCTGCACTTATCCAGATGCAAGCAGGTAAGCTGGCCCTACCAGCATATCTGTCAACCATCTCCGCCTGGCGGGACGAAAGGGTAGCTCGGGCACTCGAGAACGGGGTGCCGGACCTAGACCCGTCGGCCTGCCACCACTGCGAGCGTGGTAAGATGGACACGAAGCACGTGCTGCTGACCTGTCCCCGCTTTGCTACGCTCCGCGCCAATACCCTTGGTATCGACCGCCCCCCGGGCGTATGGACGTCCTGGCTCACTGAGCCAGAGCGCGCACCTAAAGCAGCTTCCTTCATACTAGCCACACGCCTTCTCGGCCAATTCCGCCACCTACCAGAGACATACCACACCATAGCAGCCGCGTAGCGGCCACTCATTCCTTGGAGTGCCCACGGGCCTCCAGAAACCACCGATCCACTAATCTCCTAGGCCCTTCGGGCGCCTAGGGGCCACTGCGTTATTCGAAGACGGAGGGATAACACACGATCGAACACCATGGGAGATGCTTGCGGGGACGTCTCAGGCCTGCGCACGGTCAGCTGATCACTTTGCTTCTACCAGCGTTAGCGGTATGTGAGTACGGGTAAGGTTAAACTGCGAGACACGATCTGGCGAGCGAAGACGGGCGCGTTGAAGGGGTGCAAGTGAAGGAGAGAGGTTGAGCGTACGCGGAGAAGGGGCGTGCCGAGGTTTTGGTGTTTGCACTGTTTGGCTATTTTGGTCTTGGCGGACCTGTTTGCACTATTTGCCTTCCTTCCCCCCCCCCCCCCCCCCACCCTATCCGCCTACCAAATAGCCTACAGTTGCATCCGATTAGCGTTATTACCACTTGGTGATATAGTTGTTCCGGCTATCCTATAGTGCCCTACTGGCAAATCGGGCCAAAAGCCTGACAGATCCATGAATGAATACAAAAAAAAAAAAAAAAAAAAAAACCAGTATGGATTCGATGGCTTAGATATTAATTAGTACTTATATGCTAAGCCCTTCATTTAACCTGATTTTAACTGACCAGATATCCTCCCTAGGGAATACCCAGGTGCCCCGGATCGTGGTGGCAAGACAGAGGATATAGAGAATTATGTCCTTGTCACGGTGTGTCCTGATAGGGTCCGTAGGGACCCGCTAAGACCGATAAGGGAGATCACGGGCACGTGATCTATATCTTGTTTATCTGCACTTCCGATCTGGATCCTGTTGTAGCTCTTCGAGCTACGTCTTGTATAATAGCTTACGCTAGACCGTCCGCCGACCTGCTGCCGGATCAATTAGAAACCCTCTGAACCCGACCCGATCCCGCCGGTCTTCTCCTATTATAACCCTGCCAGCCTGCACCCTGACAGTCCTCTTGCTTAAGACTCTGCGAGACACGTTTAACAAATCTGTCCGGTCTCTTAGCCTAATCTTTACCATTCCCTCGTCGTATTGGTATCTTCGCTAGTTCGACCTCCCTAGAATGGTTAAATACGTCGATTGGATCAATCTCATGTCCTACGACCTTTATAGGTTCTAGGACTAGAACAATACTATTGGCAGCATTGTACAGGGATATACAAATTTGACCGAGATCAAGTCCAGTATTAAGTTACTTTAGCGTGTGGGAATCTCTCCCTCTAAAGTTGTTCTTGGGATAGGCTTCTATGGTCGCTCGTTCTAGCTTATAGACTCTAGCTATAATACCCCTAGATGTGCTTTCAGTAGTGCAGCGAACCCTGGTTCTTGTACCGACACGGCCGGTATTCTAGGATACTTTGGTAATATTAAGCTGAAGTGTTTTTTACTATATGTATGAACTGACTTACTCTACTAACAGAAATCATGGACCTCTTAGATGGGTTAACGATATCTAGCTCTAAGAAGCGATCGTAAACAATTACCCCTATTTATGATGAGAGGGACGCGGTTAATTATTTCACTTATGATGAAGACTAGTGGGTTTTATTCGACAACAATATGATATTTAAACAAAAAGTGGCCTAGGCGAATTCGACAGGGTAAGAAAGGACTTTAATAACCCAGAATTGATTACCTTCGAAGAATAGACGCGCTGATAACCGAATAGTCTAGGAGGATTGATGATTTAGTTATCTGATATGGATGATAAGCAATTCACTGGTCGGTAAGGCCTGCTCCAATCGCCTATTAGCGGGGTCTCAAACCCACTTAAAAATGCAAAGGCAGTGGCCTAGGATTGGTTAAGCAAGAATGGATAAGAATATACTCGTTTTACAGATTGTGTGAATATGGACAATCCTTAGGTATCCTCATATAGTACTGGAAATGTCAAAATCGGATATGATATAGGTAGATATGGCTCAGGCTATGGCAAACCTATATACTGCCCTTCCACTATATATCCAACAAAGTGCACTTGGCGCGGTAACGGTGGTGACTGCAATGGTTAATACTATTAGGGAGAGATAACACTATTTTACTCCTCGTGGGGTAGAGATCCTACTAAGTATAACTATAATAAATGCGGTCGCGGAACTAAAGCTTTCTGTTGCGAGGCTGGTGCGTGGCAAAGTGAGATTAACGATTGCTATAAGGGTAACTATGGTGGAGGCTATCTAAGGAGCGGTTACGAAGCTATCGCTAGCGTCTATGATCCCGACAAATGCGCCTACAGCTATAGGGCTAGTGGTCCTTAGAACTAGACTTCCGCAAAGCCCAACTCAACCCGGGCCCAACCCGGGCCCAACCCAGGCTGGGTTGGGTTCTGGGCCCAGGACTCCAACCCAGCGCTGGGCTCTGGGCCCAGAGCTCCAGCCCAGCCTGGGTCCGGGCCCCCAACTTGGGCCACAAACATAACAGACATGCCAAGACCCGTGACTTTTTTTCTTTGCATTAATCATGCGGTTTTTGCCTGTAATAGTGCGTATTCCCTTTACAACAAGAAAAGTATGCCAGGATAGAAATAGTGTATTCTATTGAAAATTCATCGGGGGGCTGCCCCCCGATGAGAAAATTATGTACAATCATTTTGAGTAATACTCAAAGACCTCATCCTCTCGAGCCTTACGTTTCCGTCCTGATGCCCGTACCTGGGTACTATTCTCAGGTGCCGGAAGCTGGGGCTCATCTACCTCATCTAGCTGTACATGATCACTTGTCTCCTCGTCTGCCTCCTCAGTATCACTAATCAAGTCAAATTCCACCTCCTCAAGCTTATCATCTTTCTCTTCCTTCGCTGTTTCTATCTCGATATGAGAGAAGAATTTCTCTAGATACTTCGCCTCCTTCTCTTCAATATCAAACCTTGAAGTACAAAGAAACATCATTAGCTCTTCAATTGTCTGCTTCTTTTGTCTCCCTCGACGATAATGACAGATATCCCGAGCAGTATTAAAGAGTCGTTCAACACCTGCACCTGTTGCCGGGAAGGAAAGTGTATCCCGTGCAAGGGCAGCAATTGCTGGAAAGCGAGTTTGGTGCTCTCTCCAGAACTCTCCAGAAGGCAAGAGGCCTAAGATGAATAGTATCTATTAACCAGTTAGTATGATATCGTAAAGGATTCGAAAAACGTACCACTATCAAGATACTGGGTGATTTCATTAGTCGCTGTCTCTGGTTGTGCTATACTTTCATCTAACATTTTATCAAGCTTTGAGCTTAATTGAACAACCGGGCGGGTTCCATCTAAGGACTGGCTAAGCGTTGAGAGTTGCTCTTGGTATGGAATAAGTGCCTGTTGGAAGGAGTTGCGATACGTATCGCGCCATTCCTGATCCCAATCGTTTGTTAGGAAGAATTTAAACTTGTTCACAGGCGCAAGCATTGTGCTGATAGCGTAGAGATGTCCTTGAATACCACCAGTTTGAGAGTAATATTCATCAAGCTTAACCCGACCAGCTTCTAGCGCGTGGAGCATCTCTTGCTTCCATGGAACGCGCTTTCGTCGTAGCTGTTTCATTGACTGTTCAAGGTGTTCAAAGAGCTTATTATAAATCTTGAAGATATAATGCGCTGTGACATCACGAGTCTTTGACAGTTGAGTTGTATAATCAAAGAAAGGCTCAGTAATGCAAAGAAGATAGTCAACTTGGCGCCACTCTTCGTCATTTAGTAGCATCTCCTCGCAGTCGTACTCCGTACAGAATGGGGCAAAGATATCACGTAGACGCTTTGCCCGGCGAAGCATCAAGAAGGTTGAATTCCATCGAGTTTTCACATCTTGGATAGGCACTAGCTTCACGTCTGTTGTCTGGAGATTATAGAATATTTCCCGGCGCTGAGGACTCGCATTGACGTAGATAGCGAGAAAGCGGACCTTATTCAAGGTATAGGAAATCTCACGTACTTGGTGCTGCGCGTTAAGCTTTGCCAGTCTTGACTGCTTCTCTGTCCACTTTGTCTCGGCTAACTCATTTAATGGATTTGCCTTGATACGGCCAAGAAGCTGCTGGAGACTGAGCTGGATAACGTGAGCAAGGCATGGAATTCGAGGAAGAATCACATCATCTGCGAGAGCCTGCTGGAGAGACTGCTGGAGAGAAGTAACCAAAGTCTTATTATTCGATGCGTTATCCGTGGTGATTCCAAACACTCGGCCTTTAATATTATGCTCCATAAGAGTTTGAAGGAGCACACCACTTAGATTCGCACCTGTATGCGAACCATAAACTGGCTTAAAGCCAAGAAGTACCTTATGGTACCTCCAATCAGCATCAATAAAATAGCCTGTGATTGCCATAAACGACTGCGAATAGGGAGACGTCCAACAATCAAGCGCAATTGATATCTTTGAGCCAACTGGTAATCTCCGAAGTATGCCTTCTTGCCGGTCTTTAACAATGCTTGTTAATCGGCGGCGGATTGTATCGGCAGAGGGGATTATTGGTAGGCTTGGGGCGCAGCGAGCCCGAGAAATCAGACGCCGGAGCGAGGGATGCTCAATAAGGTGAAGTGGGAGTCGATTAAGTGTTAAAAATTGGAGGAGGTCTTCTTCCCATGATTCTTGTGAAAAGGGCGTATTATCATCCATCGGTAGTCTCTAGTATTCCCCAAAATATATTAGTCAAGATATTAGACACTGACTTTGGCCGAAGATAGGATCAAAGAAATGATCGAACATACCCCATTCTTTAGAAATTTAGTGATCTCATTCCCCTTCCCTTGCCCGGCCTTTAAACACCCTGCTGTCTTAAGGTGTCTTTGTATTGTCGATGTGCCATGGTATTGCGCCTTACCCTTTGCCTTTGGATTAACTGTGTATGGATGCTCAAGGATAGCATCACAGCGTTGACACATTACCTTTGGCGCACCATCCATATTATGGGCAACTTGGTGGAACTGGCTCCAAATCTCCGCATGTCGGGTTGAGTCCCAGTTGATCTTACTTTTTCTCCCATAATCAGTCTGTAACCACCAGTCCACCCATTCACTATGGGCCATTCTTTCATAGAGAACAAAGGCTTTCCTTCGGTCGGGTCCAACGCGCGTAAAAGAGGAAGGAACTACCGGTCGGAGAGGTCGGAGAAAGTCTTGTTCGGAGGCATCAAGCGTGTATTGACTACCAGATGGAGTGGCTGGGGGGTTTGGTGTTGTAAGATAGCTAAGATTATCTATCTCGCCGTCATAAATTGAGGATGCGAAGTTAGAGTGCTGACTTTGTGACATGATGAATTAGCTCTATGATCAATATTGAATGTAAGGGAGGATTGATTAAAGAGACACCTAATAAGTAATAGTATCTTTAGGTAGTAGGGAATAAGTTAAATAAACATGATACATCAATCATGATGAGGGGGTAATAAGAAGAATTAGGTTTGATTGGCTAGAGAGTTACATATGATGTAGAGATAACCCAGAAAGCCCAACAATAACCCAGAAAGCCCAGCTAAAGCCCAGTAATAACCCAGAAAGCCCAGCCAAAACCCAGTAAAAGCCCAAAAAACCCAATAATAACCCAATTCCCAGCCCAACTTATGTTTAAGATCGTCAAAAAATTTCAACCCATCGCGCCAAGAAGAAAAACTTCAATCTTCCAGTGGCCTTCCTACTCTATAGTCTTCTTTTGGCTGATTTCTGAGTAAACTAATCTAATTAAATGAATAAAATGAATCACTTTTATATATATTGTTCTCTATATTCTGTTAAATTAGTGCAATTCGATAAAAATTTTCTTTACTCTCAAAAGATGTGTCACGAAACTGACAAGGAGTATCTGGAAGTTCTCTCATGTGACCTCAGCTGACCTTGCCGAGAGAGTGCGGGGTATAAAGCCCATCTCTCTCTTAGTACCTACGATTCCTTCAAGAATCAGTTTTGATACAAATCTGATTACTGCTTTTTTACAACCCATCTATTCTCCCTCTATCTTATCCATAAACCCTAACAATTCTGATTCTTCTTTGATATGATAGAGAAGAAAAGATGGTGCGTACTACTCGCAGTAACCCACAACCTTCGGTGGACCCGGTGGAGCTAGCGCCGACCGTGGATCCAACCCCGATCGACTCCACCACGGAACCACCTCGAGACGATGACGATTCGGACCTCGAACCGCTCGCTTCCATAGGCGAATCCCTGAGTGACCCCACAATTAGAGAACTTAGGGAGAAAGAGAAGAACATGCTCATGACCGCCCGTCTCCTTAAGCGAATTGAAGAGCTAGAGAAACAAGTCCAAAAACATACTTCGAAACGCCCCCGAGAAGGAACCGATTCGGACTCGGACCGAAGTGGACACGTCCATAAAAAGGATCTGAAGCTACCGGACTTGAAAAAACCTTTCACTCTTCACTTCAGCCTACAACAGCAGCAGGAATGGTTCAAAAATCACGAACAGATATTCCGTGCTGCCCCACGGCAATTCAAGACCGAAGATGCCCAGATTATCGCTGCTTCTTTCAATATGGACGAAGACTGTCGACAACGGTGGTTTACACACATCGAAGAACTTGATGAGGATGAAGCCCGATACGCTACCCATACGTGGACGTATTTCAAGGAATGGACAGATGAGCTTATTGCCAATATGTCCACTGGCATTATCGATTATCAAGATCGATTCGAAGAAGCAAAGCAGCGCCCAACCCAGACACCTATCGAATTCCACCAGTATCTACTAAGTTTAGAACGCTTCTTCGAGAAGCCTTCCGAGCAGCGTCGTGCTCAGATCTACTACTCAAAGCTTCAACGAAACCTCAAAGATGCAATCATTATTGCCCGGGCAGGCCAGTTGCCTGAAACCCTTAAGGATATGGTTGCAGAAGCGAATCGCCACTGGACCATCATCCAAAACAAGGTGAAACCCCAAGGGCATACACCAAAAGAAAACCCAAAAAGGGCACAGAATAGCAATTCCACCATAAATACGGAAGCACCTACCCCAGTGAAGAGAGGCCGAGGTAACTTCCGAGGAAGACCCCGTCAAGCTCCAAGGGGGATTCCTAGAAGAAACGCTACTGAATCACCTAAGGACTCTACAAACACACACCCCGCTCACTGGATTTGGAAGCTGAATCCCAAGACCCAGCAGAAGGAGTGCATCAACTGTTCGAGTCCTGACCACTATGGCAACAGCCCAGAGTGCAAGAAAAATCCTGCAAACGCTGTAAAAGCGCAATCGGCTAAGGCGGGAAAAGTGTGAGGGTCGAGCAGGATGGCCAGCCGTCTTCGACCCAATCCTTACCCCAACTTGGCACAGCAACTCGATTATTCATCCCGATTCGGCTACGAAACGGCACCGAGACCCATGCGGATCTCGATACTGGAGCCGAAGTCGACCTAGTTAGCTACGAATTTGCAAAAAGTCAGCATCTGCAGCAAGCCAAGACAACAGAACCCTTGATCCGTGCTATCGGGGACGTCCTTGTACCCACATATGGAGTATGGAGGGTTCCCCTCAGTATTAAAGATTCAAGGGGTACTACTAAAACCTTCGAGAGAGTATGTGTCGCTGTCGATAGGGACCCGAGACCTCAAGGAAGCCCTGTTTTATTATCCATGACCACTCTCTGTGACCTGAAGATACACTTATCACCTGCGAATCGTATGTGGTGGTTCGAAACCTCAGTATCGTCCACTATTATCGAAACGCCTTGGAGATTCGCCAAAAAGTGCAGAAATGAAGTATGTGTCTTCGCTGTGGTCAAGTTACCCGAAGAGGTGTATAAACCCGAAAACGAGGACGATTCAGGGGTGGATCCGCAAGGGTTACCACCTGAATTGGAGGAGTTTCGGGACGTTTTCGAGAACGTGAAATCGAAGACGTTACCCCCTTTTAAGAACTCTGACCACTCCATTGAGTTAACACCTGGAGCAACACCTCCTTTTGG